TTTGTTGTGTTTATGAGGGTCCATTGATTCAATGAATTCCTTAATTGTTCATACTTAATATTGAATTTGAAGTAACTTTCTTCGGGTTCTAATTAAGCTTGTTTTACGAAAGTAATTTTCAATTACAATTAAATTTTTATCGAGGTGCGCGATGTATTCGCGGTGACGAAAAAATGAGGTTTTTTTTTTGCCCACGAACCTAAAAAAAATCAAGCCAAGCGTCCACTAATTGAAAAATTAGTGGACGGTGGGGAATAGGCAAATAACATTGGGAGTTGCAGTGATGACGTCACGATTTACTATAATATACATTAAACTACAGAGAGGATGTAGGCAAAGATCAAACTGACTGAATCGCTCACATAATGGAGCAGTGGTGAAGCTAGAAAAGCTTGTAGATCGCAGCTGGAAATTATAATACATAACCAAATTGCGATTAGTGACGATTGGGTTTCAGTCAGATATTTTGCAAAACAAAAAGGCATTCATGTATTCCTATCACATGCCGAAAACAACAAAAATAATTAGAGTAGCTTGTGAGGTACCGATTATCACATTTAAAGAAAACAACAGCAATTAAAGTAACTTAAGGGGCATCGTGTGTCCGACGAAAATAAAGAATATGAATTAAAGTAGCTATAGGGAAACATCTTATGTCATATGTAATTAAAGCAACACCAACAGGCAAAAACACATAAATTCTGTACGTACAAGAAGATAACTTAAAGTAGATTGAGAGAAATTCAATTAGGGCCTATCTTTCTGATTGACAGATAGATAGATTTTATAAATTTCTATAGCGCCGGTTCAAAAGGAAATTGTCACTAGCGCTTTTAAAAGAAATACACAATAGAAGGGCAGTAATAAAATAATAATAATTATCAATAATAATAATGTACATTAGATTTTGACTCTTTAATCATTTCAATACATTCACCATTTTCTTTCTTTCTGCTTCTGTCAACTAAATATAAACCTTTGGAGAAGATAATAAATAATTGTGTCTGGTATTGTAATTATTTCTGAATGCATTCTAACGATTAATAATGCATAAAATATAAGTCATAATGCTACACTGTTGAAGTAGACTGAGTTTCTAAATTGATTACATTGGTGTCTATACTCTCTTCTTATGAGGAAGCAATGTAAGCCAACGTTGAAAATGCTCATCTTCAACATCAACATCCTTTTAGGGATTTTAACTACTTGTACTGGTTCATCGGGTAAATATTTGACTCGTTGTTTAAACTATATTTTAAATACTTTAAGTCCAGATATTTCTGAATCATAGAAAGTTACGGTATAGACTGTAGGACTTAAGGAACCCCTGTCTAAATTTGTTTAATGCCTTTTGTCTGTATTTTAATATGTATATATACATATTCATCATCTTACTTTCATGTTTATAATTGGTTTTTTGTAGGATGCTATTGCAAATAAGATTTACTTTTTTTGGGAAAACTTTCATGGGCCATCCTCACATCATCTTTTGTTGTTACTTGCTTGTCCTGCCAAGTTTAAATTTTATCTTTTTTCTTTTATAATATCATGTTGATGAAGTGAAAGAAACTGAAATGAAATGAAGGCACCCAAAAGTAGACTATACCATTGTAAGGTGGGGTGCACAATGGGTTGTTTATTTTGATCTTGCTCTACAATACAGCCCTGTCATGAGAAAAACTCACTCAAGTGCATTTAACGACTGATTTAACAAAGTTCTGAGATAATCAACAAAACGTGTTATTGTCTTCGCTCTCTCTATGCGTAAATAATTGAATCCTTATTTTCACACGATTTAGAGGTATTATAAGTACAGTTCATTGTGTAGAACTTGTAGTTTTAATTACTCTATTTAATATGCAATATGTCACATTTATTGTTTTTTCATGACATACCGGGTCAATCACATGTAAGGAAACACGAAAGACTCACTCAACTGCATTTGTCATGAAAGAATCAACTCAACTACAGTATTTATTGGAAAAAAAAAAAAACCAACACTTATTATTATTAGATTATTACTTAAATATTGTAGGTGATATTATATCAACTTTTAAGAGAAATTATACGGTTAGGCCTATTTTTACTGTGCTGACAGAGGCACAGAATAGAATAGAGAGGCACGCCTACCCAATTTTTCCCAGTTTGTGTTTGTCTAGGATTGTTAGGCTTCAACAATTCGGTAGATTTTAGATAAATAAATGTAAATGTGATTTTATGTTAAAATGAAAAAAAAAAATGTGAATTTAATCATGTTTATAGTGCTTATTAAATAGAGCTTTACTTATGCACAAAATAAAAATAATCCGGGGACAGCCTAGTAGATAAATCCAAGCTATACCAACTTTTAACAAAACAATATCAATTCAGTCATTTATTAATTTATGTGTTCATTAATTTACAAGTATATTTGAGATCTAGTCCCGATCTATATTTGAGATCTAGTCCCGATCCACAGTTGACATGGTTTTTGCACTCAGACAACTGCAAGAGAAATGCGTGGAGCAACAGTGTCCTCTGTATGTTGTTTTTGTTGATTTGTCAAAAGCGTTTGACAATGTTAGTAGATCAGGTGTTTACTCCATCTTGAAGCGATTAGGCTGCCCAGATACACTACTGTCATTGCTGATTGGATTTCACCAAAACATGAAGGCGACTGTACAATTTAATGGCAACAGATCTGAGGCATTTGACATCAGTCGAGGTGTGAAGCAAGGCTGTGTCCTTGCGCCTACGCTCTTTGGTATCTTTCTTTCAGTTCTTCTGCAGCATGCCTTTCCAGAACCATCTGG